TTATTCCCATGGTCAACAATGCTCAAGAAGAAAACAAGTAGAACCTTAATAATGGAAAAAAACTAAAAGTGCCTTCATTGGCAGGACATATAAGCAAGAAACAACCTTTAAGAGAGTCATTGGAACTAGAAAATGAAATAAACCTTAGTAATGTTATCAAGCTGGGTTCAAGTTTTTTTTATGTTTCAGAACCTAAATATATAAAAATTATAGATAGAGAAGAAGAAGACTTGTTTATATCAGGTAATGAGTCAGTTAAGAAAACAAAAACTAAAAATAAAGAGAAAGAGAAAATAAACTCACTAGTTATATTAATAATTTCTTATATGTAATTTAATTTCTTATATGTAATTTCTATAGATATATTTTCTTATAATGATAATTTGCTCTTTAATGATCGCTTTGAAATAAGTAAATTAAAAATGTAATTGATTTTCAATTAAATTTTACAAATTATTTATTATATTTAATAGTTCTAATTTAAAAAATTCTGCCTATAATTCAAGCGCAGAAATTCCAAAAAAAAACATTTTTTAGATGAATTATTAAAAGAAGAAAAAATTAATGATCAAAGTAATATTTTTAAATTTGTAACAAATTTTATTTTTATCGATTTTTTTTTATTAATTTATATTCTCCTATTAAACAGATGAGTTTAAAAGAAGGAATGAATTGCGGATCCAAATGAATAATTAACAAATATCTTTATTAGATATATTTTTTTTAATAACGAATTCTTTAAATTTAAATTTATTTATTTTCGCATTTTACAACCACTTATTTATATTTTTTTTGTATTTTACTTATCTCTTTTGTTATATGATTATTTATTTTATTTTCAACTATTATTTATTTATTAAATATATTTATATTTATCTTAAAAAACAATCATAATAGAAATAAATCTCTAAACTGAATTTAAATTTTTTATAAATATTTCTCAGTATAAAAAATAAGTAATTATTTCGTAATCGAAATTGATAAAAGTTCATATGATTTCAATGAACTAATTATATAATTTATGCAATCGATATAATCAACATAATTTCTAATTCGTGTACTTTTCAGTTTATTCGATATTTTTAATAATAAAATGATGCAACCATTCACTAAGTATACATATGGTACAATATTTCCATATTAAGTCATCTGTTGTTTGAATTATTTTATTTTACAGCTTAAGTTTATGGAAGTTTCTAAATTATGATCATAAGTAATTCTTGGGATTTATAAACACGAATAATATAAAATTTATTTTACTTTGATCATTGCACAAAGTGAACATCTTGACTCAATTTGTAAAATTTACACAAACGCGAAACATCATAACATAACATATACGTATATATATATATGCGGTAAGGATTTATGTCATTAAAGTTTTATTTCAAGAAATCTTTAACATAATTAGAGAAACTTTCCTCACATATTGCTCTTTGTTTTTCAAAGACTAAAGTATTTAGAAATAATTATAGTTGAAAATTAATAATAAGTTAATAAAGTAATAATATCGAATGATAATATACATATATATGTGTGTAAAAAAATAAAAAAACTGACTTTTACGTTCTTCTTCATCCAATTTATCAACAAAATCCATATGATCCTCATCAAATCTTTTTGCTCTATCAAATATTTCCAAACTTCTTAACCTTTTACTCTAAATGAAAAATATATTAATAATTTTCATTACTATATAATTTAATTCGAAAACAACGATTCAAAAAAAAAAAGGTGATGAATTGAATATTTTACCTTCACCAGTACTTCAACTAATTCAGAATTTTCATGCCTGCTCATAAAGAAAATAAATCATAAAATCATAAAGACACAATATATATATGTATGTATATATACGCGTATAACAAATCACTTGTAATTATTATTATATTAAAAAAAATTTTCTAAAGGATACGTTTCAAGATATTTTATAGCGAACGAATAAAATTGAGGACAAATTTCGTGTAAATTAACATTTACTGGATTAACTTTTAATGCATTTATTATTTCTACTTCTAAAAATTTTGGTCTTTCCATTTTTGCTAAATTACTTTTAAAAATTCATTTTTAAATCATTTTAAAATTCGATTATTTTTGAAATTATACAAAGAAATTTTTAGTTAAAAAAAATGAATGAATATATGTAATGTCATGTTTTAAACTCTTATACAAAAGATTTCAAAAAAAAAAATAAAAATAAAAATAAAAATTAAACTTAAAATAAAAAACTAACCGTTTATCCAAAGCAGCTGCCAAATAAAATGGTAATTCAACTCTATGACCATTCGAATTATTCTTATTTAAAAATGATATAATGAAATAAATAAAATAATAGAATAAAATTTATTATTATTATTTAAAAGAAGAACGAATTTATTTACGTATTTATATATTTATCTATATCTGATAATACGCATACATTCAACTGAGAACGTCCAATAAATTTTTCTAAACCTGGAATTATTTGATATATCGTAACAAATACTTTCTTTTAGACATAAATGATATTATTATTATTATTATTATTCGGTATAAATTTTATAAAATTTATTGTTTTTTTGAGTTAAAATAGGTGTACATGTTAATTACTTGTTCTTTGGCAAGAAGTTCTTGAATCTTTGGTTCAGACATTATTATTAAATTTTATTATTAAGAAAATGCGCGTTCGAATAAGAAAAAAAGGAAAAAGGTGATCTGGGCATTTATATAAAGAAATTCGATGGTCATATGACTATTTAGATTTTTTATTTTTTTTTTTAACACACATTAATCATTTATCATATCATTTATCATTTATTATTTCATATTCAAAAGAAAAAAAAAATGAATGTTGACAAACTTTTCAAAATTCCATCAAGTTCTATTCCTAGTGGAAAAAACAAAAGAAAATTATCAGCGAATCCTAACATAGAAGTATTGAAAGCAGTTCGGGCGAAAACAGAAGAAGCGGAAGAAGCTGAATTTACTCAAAGTAGTAGTAGTAGTAGTCGAGAATCGAAAAGAAAAGTTCGTATTTCCGATGAAGTTGAAGAACAAGAATACTACATTGATAATAATAATACATATGAACAAGGATATGAAGAATATGAAAACGACGACGACGAAGAGGAAGAAGAAGACCGGGAAGAAGGGGGAAGGTTTTATGGAGGAGGACTGACTGGAGAACAAAAACGTATTTTAGACTTGGTAGATCAAGTTGAAGTCAAAGAGGTTGAGATCCGATAAAATTATATTGAAGTGAAATCTTACACTTACATCTTTATGCACAAATCATACGCGTTTTTTTTTTTTTAAAAAAAAAAAATCAATACGTGAAAAATCATATTCCGAAATAATTAAAATAATTAAATAATTATGAAATATTAAAATTTTTTATTTCTTATTTAAAAATTCCAAGCCAGAAGCTTTAGATAGTACAAGTGTACGTAAAATGATTCTCAAATTCGAAAAAGCCATAACGAAGAATCAAGAACTTCGCGTTAAATATTCTGATGATCCATCAAAGTGAATATTTATTAAATAAGAAATTAATAGAATTAATAATATTACAATATTGATAATAATATACTTAATAATAATAATAATAATAATATACTTATAATAATAATAATATAATAATTATAATTATAGATTTATGGAATCCGAAGCCGATCTTGATGAAGAGATCAAACATTTATTAACACTTACCGAAGTACCCGATCTTTATCCTTTAGTAGTTCAATTGGGAGCGGTTACACATCTCGTTTCACTGTTAAGTCACGAGAATACAGATATTTCTATAGATGTAGTAGAAGTATTAAATGAATTAACTGATGAAGATGTAGTGGCTGAACATGAAGAAGATGCGATGAAAATTTTTATTGATGCTTTGGTAAATAAATTATTTTGAACCAGGTATTTTGTTGTAGAGGATATTATTATTGTTTAACGTACATTATTAGTGACCCGTTCATTCCTCGTGCTTCATTCCCTATTTCCATTCCTCTTTTTTGTTTACAGTTAGAAAATCAATTATTAGAATTATTAGTTCAAAATCTTCATAGATTAGATGAAGAAGAACAAACTGATAAACAAGGAATATTCAATACTCTTGGTTTGTTTATATATCAGGCATTGATATTTTTTTTTTTATTATAATTAAATAATATTTTCTATTAATAATAATCTTCATAATTATTAATAATTATTTATTATTATTATTTTAGGTGTAATTGAAAATTTAACATCATTTGATCCTTCACTATCAGAGAAAATAATAAGTGATACTAAATTATTAGAATGGATATTAGCGAGAATTAAAGTTAAAGGATTTGATTCGAATAAACAATATTGTAGTGAATTATTGGCAATTTTATTACAAAATAGTAGAGGTAATTATTGTTGAGTTATTTGTTATAAATTTTATTTCTTTTATTATATTATTATTTTTTATGTTTACGTTATAAAATGTTAATTTTATTATTAAAATAATTTAATCTCTAGCTAATCGACTAAAATTAGGAGAATTAAATGGAATCGATGCACTCTTACAAGTTCTTAACGTAAAGTTAAAAAAAAACAAAAGCGAAGATAATTAAAGAATAATAATTTTTATCTAATTATAAGGGAATAAAATGATTTCATTTTTTTTATATAGGCATATAAACGTAAAGATCCCAAGGAAGTAGATGAAATAGAAATGATGGAGAATTTTTTTGATGCATTATGTTCTGGATTAAACGAACCTGAAATTAAGCGAAGATTTTTAGAAGGCGAAGGAGTAGAATTAATGCTTATCATGATGAAGTAAGCATTTTTTTTATTAAATATAATATTTCTTATGTCAGCGCAACACAAAGTGATACAAAGAAATTCATCATGGAAAACACATGGGAAGCTAAAAAACTTGTATTATTTTTTTTACACATACATTTATAGGGAAAAGATGATGTCCAGAATGCGCGCCATCAAAGTATTAGATTATGCATTATCAACTCCCGAAGGAACCAGTAATTGTGAACGATTTGTTGACATATTTGGACTAAAAACATTGTTTTCTACTTTTATGCGTAAGGTAAAAAAAAAAAAAAAGAATTTTTGTTAATAAAAAACTTAAATACATATTTAAGAATTTTCATTGGTTCAAATGTTAATTAATTAATATTTTAAAATTTTTGATTAATGTTATCAAATATTTTTTTTTTCTTTTTTGATCATTAATATTTTCAATCAAAAAAAAAAAAAATCAAAAATCAATAACAATAATTATTATTAACATATTAGGGTTTAAAAAAGCTTAAAAAAACATATAAGGCTTTTTCCGAGACAGAAGAAGAAGGTACTTGTAATACATTTAATACATTTTTATTATATGTAACACAAATATATTGTTTTTGAATTAATTTAGTAAACAGCAACCAGTAATTGATTTAATATTAATACTTTATTTATTAATTTGTATTTTATTTATTATTATTTTTATTTTAATTATTTTTATTTTTATCTACCTATCCATGTGTAATTTTAAATAATAAAAATTTAAACTATTTATTTATTTATTTTAACTTTATATGTATAATGTGTATATATTTTAAACTATTTTTATTTATTATTTATTTTATTATTTTATCATTTATAGAACATATCATTGGTATTATTGTATCACTATTGAAAAATCTTTCGCCAGGAAGTGATCATCGATCACGATTAATTAACAAATTTACTGAAAGTGAATTTGAAAAAGTTGATAGATTATTAGAAATGAGAGAGAATTATGAACATAAAGTTGAAATAATAGATAAAGAAATTGAAGAAGAAAAAAAGGTTGATTTAAAAAAAAAAAAAAAATTATATATATATTTTTTTTTAATTATAAATTATTTTTATTTATATATAAATTTTTATTACTACAGGCTTTTGAAGAAGATGAAGATTATGAAATTAACGATGAAACATTAGATGAATTTTATCTAAGAAGATTAAATTCAGGTTTATTCACTTTACAATTGGTCGATTTAACGATCTCGTGGATTTGTTATGAAGAACCTCAGGTAAAAATATCTGATTTTAGCAATTGGGACAATAATTATAAATAATTGTTTGTAAATAATTGTAAATAATTATAATTATTTATGATTGTAAATGATTATAAATGATTTCAATTACTGTTTGCCAATTTTATACATTTATTTTTATTATTATTTATTATTTATAGATTAAAGAACATGTAACGCTTCTTTTAAATCGTCGAGGTCGTAGCCTAAATAATGTGAAAAATACTTTAGAAGGTAATCCTCGTTTTTTTTTTTTATGATGCTTATTTGGAAATACCTTATTTAATCTGTATTCCTAAAAAGGAAATTTAAAATAAATAAGATTATTTATTATTATTATTTATTACAGAATATTATAATAACATGGACGATGAAGGTTTCACAAAAAACGTTAATGAAGATGAAAATATTAACGATGATGGTGATGATAATGAAAGTATTAACGATAAAAAAAATATTAACGATAAAATTATTAATATTAACGATAATAATAATAATAATAATAATCATAATGAAGAAAAAAATATTAATGAAGAAAATTCTAATATGGAAATTGACGATGACGACAATACCAAAAGTATTAGTATTAGTAGTAATAATAATTATCCAATCAAACGGAACCTCATGGCTTCAAAACAGCAAGAAAAAGAAATTATTAAAATGCTGATAGGTTCTCTCTAAATATTCTAAATGTTATCAACAAAAAAAAATTAATATTAATTTCCATTTTTGTGTTGGCGATTTTCGAAAAATGGAATGTTAAATTTTTCAATTTTTTTTTTTTTTTTTTTTATCAAACTAAAAAAATTTTTTTATTTTAAAATTTTTTGTTTATTATATTATCTTTACTACATATTTATATTTATTTAAGGGTAAATTTATTCGTTTCTGCAATTTCTTCCCATAAATTTATATCTAATAAATAAAGTTTATTAACAAATATAAATGATATAAATATAAATAAATAAATACACAGATATATATATATGTTATGGTATGTTTCGTGGATTGACAATGACAAAGTAAACGATAATATATAAATTATTATATACATTATATTACATATTTTTATGTTTAATTATAGTTAATACAATTAATGCAATTAATCGAACATTTACACAAAATAAAAAAAAACCCCTTTTTGGAAAATATTAATAAAATAAACCAAATTTTTTAACAACGAACACACGATTCACACATTTTTTCCTTTTTTTCTTTACATAATTTCAAGTAGGAGTACGGCATATCAATTCATTCCTTGTGTTTATCATTGTCTTTGTTACGTTGTTCATGTCCATTCCATCCTTCCATTCACCGATTCACATCTATTTATCATGCTGCCTCATTCTTTTCCAATCTAGTAAACAAGGTTCCTATTTCCTAATCTGGTCTTTACTAATTACGGAAAACAAGAAATTTTGTTGAAATTCAGTAACGATTTTTAATTAAATATCACAAATTTTGATTATTATTTGTTCTTGTGTACCAACCGAATTTCATTTTTATAGCAACAACAAAAAATAAAATTATTAATAATTTGGTTTCTTTATCTTTATTTTAATTAAGACTCTCTTTTTGTTTTTGTTTTTAACTGTGTGAAAGTAGTAGTAGGAATTTCATTACATTATCCATTTTGAAAACATCGGACCAAACAACAGCAACAACAACAACAAATCCCAACATACCGTTCCGGAACATATCTCAAACATCCCTTTTACCGATTATTTATTAAAATAAATTTCATCCTTTTAATTTATTTTTTTCATAATAAATATCACCTCTCTTATCCTTCCACTTCTCCTCACTTCCCTTCCTCTCTTTCCTGTAATATAATACTACTACTACTTCCTCACGCTGGCGTGCGTTTTTCTTATCACAAACATATAATTCTACTTTATTTGTTGTATTTTGTAATTTATCAAATAGTAATAAAAAAAAGGTACCTTACTTCCCGCACTTCTGTACAAATTAATAAATTCAGAAAAATGATGTCTCGTAGTCACACGCCTGCTGCACCTTTCACCTCTTTTACTTTCCTCTTTATCTTCTTTCTCTTATTCACATCATTTTGCGTTAACGTCAAAGCCAATTATTTAACCTTACATCAAGATATTATTGGTCCTGATAGTATAGATTCGGTTATTGATAGCAGTTCAGGAATTGATTATGGTTCCGAAGAAGACAAATCAATCGTTACTGTTGACCAAACTCCCAAACCTGTAGGAAATGTTATGGTTAGCATTAAAATTTTAATTTTTTCTTATTAATTTTTTTTTTTTTTTTGGTTAATTTTAATTTTAATTTTTATTTGATCTTAGCCATGTATTAATTAGCATAAAATTACATAATTTTATTATTTTATTATTATAATTTAATAATTTGGTAAAATTATTATTTTTTTCTTTCTATTTAGGGAGTACTATACAGTATTTCAGACGCATGTTCTACAAGCAATGAGAACATTCCACTATTATCTACTATTCCCCAAAAGTTGAACAGCACTCGTATTGCTATATTTAGTCTTAGTGATACTTGTTCAATCCTCCAACAAATTTTAAACGTACAGAAAAGTGGTGCGATTTGTGCAATTGTATACAAAGTTGACGGATCAACTTCTGAAAATGGACAATCCAATGTTTCACCAACCGATATAACGATACCTGCAGTTACCATAAATGCCAATATCTTTAATGCATTGACAAAGAAATTGAATGATACCACACAACAAACATCAAAGTTTGTTCGCGTCGTTGTGAGCTCTTCACAAGGAGGATTTAATGGTGGATGGAAAGTGGCTATCATTGTTATTGGTTGTTTACTTGCAGTTTCTTTCTTGGTGTCTGGTAAGTTCAAAAACTTTTATAAATAGTGCGGATAATTTTTTTTTTTTTGCTTCAAACTTCAAAAACAAACACGAGGTTAACAATATATATATATATTTTATTTATTTTCTTTACCCCACCTCATAATAAAAAATAAACCTAATATAAAACCTTTATATACATATAAAATAAAAAACAAACAACACTTCATACACAATATATATATATATACATACATATAAAAATAAAAAAACAAATAATACTATAAACCAACCTTCTTTTATAAAAACTCAACACATACACACACTCTCTCTTCCTCTTTCACCACAATACTCACTTATATAATTCATATTATATAACTTTATAACTTTTATATCTTTTAGTATTGATACACTGTCGCCTCTATCAACTCAGACGTCGGGAACGTAACATCATGGTTGCTAGACACGAATCTGGTCTTAACTCCAAAATGCAAGTTTGCACTTTAGAAAAATCCATCGTTAAAACTTTTCCAACTATACTTTATCGTAAGAACAATAATGATAATAATTATAATAAGGGTGATGACTTGTTAGAATCAATTGGATCCTCAATCTCCGCCGCTTCCTCTACCACCACTAAGGTTTCTGAAAAATCTTCATCTAAAAATGCCCCAACTATTGAATATGCAAATGATGTTTGTGCTATTTGTCTTGAAGAATTTAATGATGGTGAACTTTTAAGAAGGTTACCTTTGTGTTCTCATGAATATCACAAAGAATGTATTGGTAAGTACAATTGTTATTTACTTTCACTCCTCTCTTCTCTTTAACCCCTTTCTATCACTTAAAATCTTTTACGCGTAAAATATTTACGTTGCATAAGTTTCACGTGATTACACATACATACATAATATCATCATACATAATCTTGTACTTGTCACACATATTAATCTTATTATTATTATTATTATTATTATTATTATTAGATCGTTGGTTAACCACCAAATCATCAAGATGTCCTCTATGCAAACAAGACTCAACACCACCTGAAGTTATTGCCAAAAGGGAAAAGAAATTTGATCAAGCCATGCAAGTTCATGCTAGACTTAACTCCATATATGATACATCAAACAATCGTCATGAAAGTAGCAGATTTAGTACCATTAGTAATGACAATAATGGAGGAGGAACTGGTTCCTCTAAATATGGTCGTTTCCTTGATTGGTTTGGATATGGTAATACCGATCCTCGAGATGTTAACCCTCACGTACGACCCAATGGTAATTTATTCGCAATTCAAGATTTACCTCAAGTTGTTGTTCGTTCAGAAAGTTCAACTAGAATGGTATAATGAACCTAAATTAATGGACGAAGAAAAAAAAAAAGGACGAAGGGTGAAGAAAAATTATTATATTATTATTTTATATCTATATTTTTTTTTTGCATCAAAGGGAATAATTGATGTAAATTATTGTTATTATCATCATCATTTTTTTTAAGATATTATTTATATATAGCACATTCTTTTAATTTGTATAGAAAAATACCCTATTAGATCTATTAGATGATGCATTTACGTCCCACTTTTACATTTACATTTTATAATTTCATTTCATTTCATTTTTTATAGCATTTCAACATTTCTTATTATTATTCCTCTTCTTCTTTGCATTCTTCACATTCTTCGCATTCTTCGCATTTCTTTGCATTTTAGTTCATTTTGCATATATATCACGCACGCATATCACGCACTCATATATCGTACATATCACATATATACATAGATCAATTATCATATATTATTTTTTTTGTTCATAGATTATCATTACTATTTGCATTTACAATTTGCATTTCTTCTTCTCAATTTAAGTAGTAGTTGGTTCCTAAAAAAAAAATTATTATAATTACAAATAATAAATAAGGGTTTTCAACTTAATTTTTTTTCCCACATTTTTTTTACATACAATCATTTATTTCTTTTAATTTGTTCATTTCTTTGTAGCATAAAAAATGTATAATTGTATATCCATTTCCCCTTTTTCCCCTCCCCTCCCCATCATCTCAACTCATCTCATCACAAATATATCCATCTTCATATATATTTTTCCATAACTTCTGATTTTCTAATGTTTTCAAACGTAATTATATATATATCTATATATGTATAATTTATTTAAATGTTTTACATATTTATACATTCTTTTCAATCTTTTTTTTTTTGAAATTGATTTATTTTCAATTATATACTTGTTGTTATATATATATTATATATTCTGTAAAATTATTAACAAAAAAAAAAAAAAAAAAAAGAAAAAAAATATAAATAAATAAAGGAAGGTACACTGTCTTATAAGTTGCCCGAATCATATGAATTTAAATATTGTTATCGTTGGAATATTATTATTAATTTTTCTTTTTAAAGTGAAAAAAATAAAATAACAAAATAAATTATGATGATGTCTAAAAATTTGAAATTGTTTCAAATAAAAATGTCTATAAAATAATAAAATTGATAATAATAATAATAATAATAATTAAGTTATAATAAAACTATTTTACATTAAATCAAAAAATAGAAGATTAATGATGCGTCACGCCATCATGTTTATTGTTGAATAATATTTATTCAAAAAGAAGCGTCCAATTATTTAATTGCATGAAAATTTCTTAAGTTGTTTTCGAAAGCAATTGTCTCAATAGATCATTCCTACATGATTACATATTTGATTAATTTTATATAATTTATTTTAATAAAAAGGTTAAAAATTAAAATTAAACAAAATACCTTTTTTTATAATCGCATACCAATTCATCCAATCCAAATATACTAGAAGATTGTTCAAATTCTTCTCTAATACCAAATTTGTTTCCACGATTTTTTGACGATTTGCTTTTTTTTTTATTTATTTTTTTATTACGAATTTTTCAAATTCTCAAATGTTTTAAAAATATTAAAAAACTTCAAAAAGGAAAGGAAAGTAAAGTAAAAAAAGTGAAAAGGAAAAAGAAAATTATAATTACTTACTTCGAGGACATGCCTTCAATTGTTAACATCAAACCTGTCGTAGTAGAGGACTCTTTACCTTGTCCCGACGCGGTCATTTGTGGGGTTAAACTAATCTTACAATTTGTAACTTGAAAATTATGACTTAATGAATGACAATCAGCTACACTTTCTCCATCTTCGTTAAGGTTGACTAAGACACATCTTTCTTTTGGAACATTAAAAGGAAAATGTTCCTCTTCAAAAACGTAATGTACCACTGGGTGTTTCCAGGACTGTTGCATTTGGTCATGAATCACCACAAATTGTGGAACCGTTGAAAATTGGGAAACGGTTGAAGAAGAAGAGGTGGAGGAAGGTCCAACTGGAGTTTGTTGCATTGTTTTAAATTGTTGGAAAGAAAAGAAAGAATTAAAGAAAATGATCATTCTACATTGTATGTATAATAAAGCAGTTGTCACATGAGTCTATCAGACAAAATTTTTGCATATAAAAAAAAACGAGTATCATTTCTTTACAATTACCATACCGATAACTGCAAATTCGGAAACCGAAATAGTTGTTGAACCAGAAGAAGACAATATTGATATAATTCATCAGATGAATCGATATGATCATACCGCTAGGAAACAATCAGCAGCACTTGATGCAATCATTGCATCGTAAAGATAGAAATGGGAAATTTCAATAACGGCGGATAAAATTTTTAAATTGAATTATTATTAATGTAATATCAAAGGGTGTGTGCTTCGGGTAAATTCACGTGATTAACTTGATCAACGTCAATGTTAATTTTACTCTTATTTTTTATGCGTACAGTAATTTATCAAAGAATTAAAGGTACGCAGAACATAAGTATTTATGTTCACTAATTAATAATTAGTGTATAATTTATTGATTCAGATTAGTAATGAAAAGTGAAAATTGATTCAAAATCTCTTTTTTTAATATAAAAAATATATTTACAGTTATATTTATAGAACATTATAACGCTGATGAAAAGATTATTGAAGGGCTTTATTTCGGGAGAGTTCTATCCGATACCCATGGTCGTAAACAAGCATTCACCTTGACATTAGCTGTTACTACCTTTTTTTGGTATATTTTAAAGTTTTGCTCAAAGCTTTTAGTTATTTTTTTTTTTTAATTGTATTTGGAACTGCTTGTTGATGGTGAGTTGTTACGTTTTTATTCTTTTTTCTTGTTTTAATTAATGACTACATCTAGATTTGACTTTGTGGGAAAAGTGCAACTATTCGTAGAATTTTTGTAAGTTTGTAATTCAACATAACAACGGGTGAAGGTTTTTGTTGGGCGCTTTAGGTTCCTTAGCATTTATTAGTATTTTATATTGAAATTCTAATATAATATGTTCAGAATTTAGACTTTCCTTATCATTATTTTTCATCAAGAATTACAAAATATCTTATTTCACATGATCGATTCTTGTATTACGTGACTTCTCTTCCTCTTCTAACAACACCTCAATCTTCAAAATTCTCATTCAAATTATTTTAAATTCCTTTTCATAACCTATAACACATTCAGAATTCGTCACCGAATAATAAAATTTGTTACAAAGCTCTTTCGTGATTTATGGGTTGTATGTAGATTGTAATAAAATTTTGCATTTTTTGCATATTAGTGCATATGCTAACGTAACGTTGTGTATATAAGCCAATACAAAAAATCTTTAAATAGTAGTATTTTTAAAATTATAGAAAAATTAAATATTTTACTATCAACCCTGCGATTAAAAATTTTATAATTGCACGTTTAAAATCTTTAAATATAACTTCTGCGTCTCGTATAAAATTATTATTTTCCTATTATAATTTCCTGCGCACATATATTCCAATCATATAATAAATAATTAAAGTCAACGATAATTTTAGATTATATTTTTATTTGTAAATAAAATTAATAACAAAATTAACAATATAATATATATTAATTAATTATTCAGTAATTAATTATTCATTAAATTATATTAACTTAAATGGAAAATAAGAAATGGCTACTCAAAAATTAAATGGAATGCTAAATTAAAAGGAGTTTATGATAAATTATTCTTTTCTATGGACACCAATATTCATAAAACAATTACAGAGCAAGAAAAATATCTAAAAGATATTGTCGAAAATGATTCATCTCTTACAAAAAATGAAAAGAAATTTTTATTTAATGAATTACAGAATACATGATTCATTAAGAATTAATAAGAATTCTGACGAAAAGCAACAATGCAACAATTGTCAGAATTGGCATCAGGCAACCCAATATTGTGAATTTTGTATTCGTAAATATTTAGAAATAATTTTAGAAATTGGACATTTGGAAATAAAGAAATTGACAAATTAATTCAAGAATGTCAGCAAACTACTGTAAAACCTAATAAGGTAGTTGAATGGATTAGTTATGAAAACGTTAAATATCTGACAGAAGGAGGATGTGCTACTATCTATACAGCAGATTGGAAAGATGGATTCTATAAAAAATGGAATTCCAAAAGACAAATATTGGAAAGATTTGGAAGACAAAAGATTGTTTTGAAAAGATTGAATAATTCAAATAGTAATAATACGCATTGGTTTCAAGAAGTATGTTAAATTATTATTTCATTTATTATACTCTGTTTAATATTTAAGAAATATTAATTACATTATTACAAAAAATTGATAGGTGACATTAAGTTTCACACTTGATAAAACTTCCCAATATCTTGCAAAATGTTATGGATTAACTAAAGATCCAACCACCCAAGATTATATGTTAGTTTTAAATTATTATGATAATGATCTAAGACATTTTTTAAAAGATAATTATCAATCACTTAAATTATTAGAAAAATATCTTATTATAAGTAATATAGCAACTAGTTTAAATCAAATTCATTATCAAAATATAATACATCGAGATTTACACTCGGGAAATGTACTAACAAAAAATAATAGATGGTTTATTAGCGATTTAGGATTGAGTGGACTAGTTAACAAACAATTAGATAGTATCAATGGGAACCTCCTATACATTGCACCTGAACTTTTATGTCAAAAAAATGATACAACAAAATCAGATGTGTATAGTTTAGGTATTATAATGTGGGAAGTGATTACTGGTGAAACTCCCTTTAGAACCATAAGTTTAATGCTGATTCAGATTTTGTTCTTGCAATAATTAATGGATATAGACCTAAAATTTACAAATATATTCCATATGAATATACAACTTTAATGAAACAATGTTGGGATGCTAATCTTGATAATAGACCTGTTACTTATAAAATTCATAATAAAATAAAATCATCAATTCAGTCATTATTTAATTAAATGGATAAGCAACAAGAACCAACTATTCAATCTAATAGTTCAAAATCAAAATTTTTCCCAATCAAGTTTAACAAAAGACAAAAGTAGCCAAACAATCCAAACCAGTAAAGCATATACTTTTAACATTTCAGCTCAGCTTAGAAATGCCACAGAAGGTAATATATTTTAAATTTTTTTTTATTTTATTTATTTTTTATTTTATATTTTATTAATTAATTTAATAATTTTTCATCTTTATAGAAGAACAACTAGGTAAAACAATTGAACTATTGATTCCAATAAAAATCTCCAATTTAATATAATCCAAATTAATGTAATTTTGTACATTATATTTAGCATATGAAACTAAACAATTTAATCTTGAAATTCCTGAAGGTAAACATATTATTAATTTTTTTGATACGATTTATTTAATTTTATTTAATTTGTTGTATTTCATAATTATAGAATTTCACTTAATGATAATTTAAATGATTCTCAAGGCAATTAATATGATTTCATTTTATACCAATCTATATTTTATAAATTTATTTATTTATTTTTTATTTTTTTCAACTTTAGTTGATCAAGAATATGGAATTGCGGTGCTTCAAATTTGGGATCGCAGTTTCATGACTAAATTTGTTTCTTTTTTTTATTATTGAATTATTTTACATTTTTTTTTATTTTATGTACTGTTTATTCTATAATTTAAACAATTGCTTAATTTTTTTTTATCATTTTATTATTGAAATATTATATTTTTTATTTTATTATTTAACCAATTACTTTATTTTTTTTTTATTATATTAAATAAAGTTATTTTTTCTGTTAATCAAGATTGAAAATCAACTGGATAGAAACTATTATTTTTAAACAAAATAATAATAAAAAATAATAAAATAATAAAAAATAATAAGAATAATAAAAAATAATAATAATAATAAAATAATAATAAATAAAAAATAATAAAAAATAATAAAAATAATGAAAAAAAAAAAAAAATAAAAATAAATACTAATAAATAATAAAATAAATAAAAAATTCCATTTCTTTGTCCTTTAAATATCATTATTATTAGAATTAGTTTTATTACGCTCGTAAATATGAAATATTATTAAAAGAACAAATTTTTTCTTAAATAAGTTATTTCAATGGGTATGTGTTTCTTTAACTTTCAAAGAATATAAATGACTAAATTGCTATTCTTGTGTTCCATTCAAACGAAACAAAGGCAAAACAATAGGGACCAAAACTATTAATGTTCCTTAGACAAAATTATCTTTTTTTCTATTAAACTTTTAAATTACAAAATAAATAAAATAAATAAATTAATTAAAAATAAATTCATTGACAATAATATAACAAATAAATAATTCAAAGGACCAATTCTATTGATCACTTCTAATCCTAATAATCTAACAAAAATCACATGTATTATCTTTATTTCCCCATAATATTAATAATAATAAATAATATAAATAAAAGTGAATTCGTTAACTTACTTAACAAGTTCAACATGTACAGCTCATTCATCAACATAACTTTCAGCATTTCTCATTCTCCAAAGGAAATCCAGCATGAACATTCAAAACAAGTGGAGGAAGACTAAATTCTATTTTTTTTTTTTTGCTACACGAAGTCAATATGCCATACTCGCATATGATCGAAATTTTCCATCAGTAAAAATTATACTAGATAATCTTAATTAAACTAATTTTTACGATTAAATATACTTTTAAAGAATTCAATAGATTAGTGTTAAGAACTATGTTACCCAAAGCACTAATTTAGGTTGCAAATTTCTGATTTCTAATAATAGTACGTTTAAAATATAACTTTTATATCTTCCGCGTCTCGTACAAAATTATTTATTAATCTCAACCGTTAATGTACTTTCCAAATTTTAATATATTTGCCGAGTATAATTTCCTGCACATATATTCCAATCATTAATAAAAAGAAAATTACACCTTTCCGTTTATCTCATTATTACACTATATAAACTTTTAATGTAACATATTTTTCTATTCGAATAAGCTTGCATGACTTATTCGAATCTTCCACTCCTAATAGTCGCAAATTCTTCAAATGTGTTATAATCAAATAGCATAATAAATCGATTTTTCAAAATATTTTCGAACAAATCTTTTTTTTTCCTGACATTACTTCGGATTATTACTAACAAAAATAATTTATCAGAAATCGAGGTGCAAAATCAAAAGAGGAAATTTGCACGAATTTATGAACTCACTAATTGATTCCATGGTAAAAAAAAATATTATTAGATAAAATTATTAAAATAAACGAAAAAAATATTTTCTTATCATTATATACATTAATGAGCTACTGCCACATGTTAGCGTGTCAGCGTGTCGGGTCTCAGGAGGTCAATATTTTATTTTGTCGTACCATTTTGTGCAAATACATGAAGTTTTAATTATATAACAAAGAATATTATAGTTACAATAAAATTAATTGTTATGAACTTTATAAAGACTTCCGCATTACTTATAATCTCAATTATATATCTCTATATAACTATTTCGAAGATTTATATTTATATATTTATATATATTAAATACTGTATCTTATACAGTTAAACAGAATATCTACACTTAAATGGAAAATGAAATTGGAACTAATGAAGAGAAAACATTTCAGTGGAACATGAAATTAGCCGAGGGAGGAAATACTATTGGAAAGTATAGTCTTGATCATTGTTATCGGTGATGGAATTGAAATTACAAAGATGAAAAGAAAGCATTTCATTGGTACATGAAATCAGCCGTGGGAGGATATACTTTTGGACAATTTGCTCTTGGTCTTTGTCGTTATAATGGGATTGAAACTACAAAAGATTTAACGAAAGCATTTCAGTGGTACTTGAAATCAGCTGAAGGAGGATATAGTATGGCACAAAATAATCTTGGTTATTTCTATCATACTGGGATTGGAACTATCAAAGATGAAAAGAAAGCATTTCAGTGGTACTTGAAATCAGCTGAAGGTGGATTTCATTTGGGACAATAAAATCTTGGAGATTGTAATCGTGATGGAGTCAGAACTATGAAAGATGAAAAGAAAACATTTCAGTTGTACATGAAATCAGAGAAGGAGGAGATGCTCTTGGACAGTATGATTCTGGTCATTGTTATCGTGGTAGAATCGGAACTCCAAAAGATGAAAAGAAAGCATTACATTGGTACTCAATATCGGCCGAAGGAGGAAATAATCATGCACAGACTTTACTTAGAAATTGCTACCATGGGCTGAAAGAGGGAAACAGTGGTTATTATGACTCAGAAATTAAAATTACAAAAGACGAAGAGAAAATATTTCACCGATACCTGAAATCAGCTGATGAAGGAAATGTTGATGGGCAGAATAAACTTGGTTACTGTTATCTCATTGGTATTGGAGCCATAAAAGATGATGAGAAAGTATTTCAATGGTATATGAAGTCAGCTACGAATTGTTATTTCTATGGGACTGGTACTACCAAAGATGAAAAGAAAACATTACGTTGGTACGTGAAATCAAATAAATCATCTGAAGGAGAAATTGAATACAAAGCATATTGTATCTTCCTTCGAATAATCCGATAGATTTAATTGTTCATTATGTTATTGAATAGGAATATTTTATATTGAAAATCGGCAAAAATATTTATTTAATGTATTTATGAAAATTGCTCCTTCTTAGGGATAATAAAATCATTTTTTATTTTGGATTTATAGATCAATTTGTTCCTTTGACGATCCCCATTTAGTTTTTTTTTGTTATAAATCAAGGAAATGATTTTCATGTTTTCCAATAAATTTTTAATTCGTGCGAACGATGAAATGGACTCATCTCATCGAGGTTAATTGGGTAATAACAAAATCGAAATAATAAATAAATGAATGGTTTCTTAATATTAAACAAGGGAGGTGCTTTATTAACTTAAATTTTTTTGCCTTAGAACAGTAACTTGTCTTGTTATTTAATGAAAAATTTTACTTAAAAAAATACATTGCTTAAATTTATTATTTTTACCCGCTACTTACCAGTTACAGTAATTATTGTAATAAACATTATACCAATTCAAAATTAAATTAATTATTGCTCAAATTTACTAACAACGATTCTGATACCCAAATTACATTATTCAATAAAATACATCGCTTCAATGTTTTTTACATAAAAAATTTAATTTTTTTTTTTATTTAATGGGCCTACACAAATCCGGGGAGTATTTTTTTTTTTTTTTTTTTATTAAAATTGTATGATTTATTTATTTTATCACTATTGTTTATTTAATGAGTAGGCTTTTGCTAACTTTTTAAAATTTTTAAATCTGTAGTGCCTAACTTTATTTTTAATATTTCGTCCATTTATAAATGCAATAAAAATAAAATAAATTCAATTAACATAAATCGTTTCGTTTCATTCAAGGATTTCCAAATAAATAACATTTATATATATTTTTTACTTTGATAAAAAATTATCCTCTGAAATATGAACATCATATATATTTTCCACCTGAATCCTCTGTTAAGTCTTAATTTATCTTTTTCCACGAAACTCCTCTTTCCTCGGAATTATCATTATTTTCGGAAATAGAAAAATCAATTTCTATAATGGGATTCAAATTATTTTCCCCTTTATTCCAAACCATATAAATATATTTTCCACCTGCACCTTCGTTCAAGTCCAGAATTGCCAATTAATCGGTTTTTGTTTTTGACGATCCACAAAAGAGAGAAATGATAAAGTTGTCACCGCCTTTTCATGATTTTCGGGAGTATATGGTTCACGTTTACGTCCAATAAATATGAATTTTCCACCATTTCATTCGATAAGATCTTGAAAGTTCATTTCACAACCTTCGAAATAATCGGGGCAATCATTTTTATTGGAAACGTAAACACTGAAATCGGTAATATACGTTACCATGCTAAAAAAAAAAAATGGAACATGTCATTTTAAACCTTGTTAGAAATAATTGCGAAAGTTCAAATATAAAAAATATAATTATCATATGACTATCGTTTGATTTTATACTTTATCCCGCATAGCACTAACATTATTTTTACGCTAATAAAAACTAAAATATATTTTTTTTTTATATAATTTTACTGAGAAAAGGGGGATATTTATCTGTTCTGTTTGAGTGGAAAATGAATGTTACCTCGCGTCCTGATTGACCAAAAATGTTTAATAATTAGTTATTACTAATGATAATATATTCATCCATAATTTTTTTTTTAATTAAGAAAACTAGTTTTTGACTTTAGCGACTTCATCGTGATATTAATTGTATTAGTTGGTGTAATATATAATTTTATGATTTTAAATTAATGGTTAATGAATATCCCGTTAAGTTTTAAAATTATATCTCGAATAAGGTGTTTTAATTGATAATTTTTTTTTTACATTGTTAATCTTGTTGGGCTGTCGTCATTGCAATAGTTATACATATTTCTGAGAAGTTAAATTGTTCATTGAGAATAATAATAAATAATTATTTATCAGTGAATAAATGATTTAAAAGTTTTTTGAATTTTTATATAATTGATTTATCTTTGATTTTATAATAATTAAAATAAGTTTTGTATTATGAGTCGATACCCATGATTGTATTTAATAATAATGATTAGTAAAATTTTATAATAACGTTTATATATATTTAAGCTATTTAAGGGAACAAATCACAAAAATATAATTTATGGGATTATTTTTTTTCGACGTATTTTATTTTTATTATTTTTTATTATCAAAAATAAAATAAAAAAAAAAAATAAAAATCATGCCACGAGAAAATTTTTCAATCATTTGATAGAGATTATTTATTAATTAATTAATTAAAAAAAAATAAAAAATGAAGATTCGTCATCAATATCTATCTTGCTCAAGAAAAAAATTTTTCTTTTTCGCACAAGAAAAGGGAAAGGAAGAAATCGAAAGAAAAGAAATAACATCGAAATTTGTTATTTTTTAAAAAAAAATTATGTCATCAAAGATCATTGTTTTTTTATCTTCAAAAAAAAAAAAATATTTAAAACACCTTATTCCGAAAGGAAAGAATTTCCGCCTCATCATCTTCCTTCCTATCTCCATATTTTCATTTAATTATTTGTATATGGATATTTATTCGATTTACTTTATTTTATCAATATGTCAACATGTATATAAATAGATAATTTAAATAATAATTTTTATATAAAATAATAAATAGAATTTAGATATAACAACAAAACAAAAAAAAATGACAGGACTACGAACCGATATCACTAACCATAATATCTATCATGCGAAAAAAATTTTTCGCTGCGCATTTTTTATTATTATTAAACTTTTATAAAAAGATACTATTTACATTGGACAGCATATACTTTCCATTGTACGACCTTTCACAGAAAAATAATTGGTTGATCGTTGAATAATCGGTTTTCTATTTTTTTTCTTACCATCATTGTCGTTACTTATTAAAAATAATCCGAAATAATGTCAAATTTGTCAAATTTGTTAGAAGATGCTCTGAAAAATCGATTAATTACATCATTTGATTATAACTTATTTGATAGAGTTACGCCGATTGGGAAAGGAGGATTCGGTCAAGTTATGCGCGCTTATTCGAAACGTTTAGAAAAAGATGTTGCATTAAAAAGTTTATTCAGTGTAAATAATAAAGATTTCGTGAAAGAGGTGAATAGATGATTTTCATTAATTAAATATTTTTTGAAGATGAAAATTTAAATATTTTTTTATATATTTTGAAACTACTAGTTGCAGAATTTTAATTCTGTCAACCATCACGATAACATCATTAAGTTTTTCGGCATTAGTAAAGGTAAAATAAATTATTTTATTTGTTTATTATTTATTCTATATTAATTATTATTTAATTATTCAACAAAATTATTTATTTTTTTTTTAGATCCTGATCCTTTAAAAGATACATATTACCTAGTATTACAATATGCCAAAGATGGTGACTTAAGAACTTTCTTACGAGATAATTTTAAAAACCTTAATTGGGAAGATAAAATTAATATGGCTAAAGATATCGCAAGAGGTTTAAAGTGTATTCATGATGCAAATATTGTTCATAGAGATTTAGTAAGTATATGTTATATATGTTATATGGTGATTTTTATTATAGGATAGGTTTTGTATATCCAAATTCACTTTTTTTACTTTTTTTTTTTTTTTTTTTTAATAGCACTCGGGAAATATTTTGGTTCATGAAAGAAGATTATTGATAACGGACTTAGGATTATCTCGATTATTAGATACCAATTCTAATTCTTTTGTAGGAGGAATGTTTGCATATTCTGATCCTGAATATTTACGGAATCCGGTGGTATATAAAAGGAGCAAAGCATCTGATATTTACAGTTTAGGAGTCCTTTTTTGGGAGCTATCAAGTGGTAAACCTCCAAGTTTAGAAATAACTAAAATAGTTATACATGGTAAAAGAGAAACACCCATTAATGGAACACCCGAGGATTACATCAAAATTTATTCAAGTGCATGGAATGATGATCCTAACGAAAGACCCACTATAGAAAATATTCGCGAATCCCTTGATAATATTCAATTTGAAAATGTTTTTGATGAAAATATTCAATCTATTCAATCTGATCAACCAGAAGATAACATTAATGACCAACCTAATACTGTTAATGTTAAAGAGGAATATAAAGAAGAAGATTTTGTATCAAATGCAAATGAATTTAGCGATCAAACAACATATGGTTTAAAATATTGGGAAAGAACCGGTATTTCTTTATTTCAATAAATATGTTATAATAATATAAAACACATCATGAATCAAGTAGATTTAAATTAAAAGCAAGGAAAATAATTTAAATCGAAATTAATATTTATTATAATTCTCTTGAAAATATTTTAATGAATGTTCAATTTATTCAATCAAAAGTTAACCAACCTCGAGTTTCTACCGATAACAATGATCTTATCGAAGAGCAAAGCAATATTCCACTGTCAAATGATGTAAATATAAATGATATATCAGAGATCACAGGTATTTTTTCGATATAAATAATTATGAAATCTCTCTTTTTTTTATATAATAATCAATTTATTATTTTATTAATTTAATAATTTATTAATTTTAATTATTAATTAATCATTTGATATTTCAGAAGTTGGCCGATCTTCTCCAAATTCCATCAATAATCATGTGTCAATTGATCAAACTCTAACTGATTTATCAAATTGGGAAATTACAGGTATTTTTTTATTTTTTAATATAAATATTTATAATAGCACATTTATTATCATTTTTAATTATTAATTAATTTATTATTTTAAAATATTTAGGTATTTATAATTTAAATATCCACGAAAATAATACGAGTGCTTCCTAATTGAAACTTTTTAACGCATTTCTCTGTTAAAATTTTTTTTATATTTAAACAAATAATTGTTGAACTAATAGAGTAAGTGAATGGTTTAAATCCGAATTAAAAAATTTGAAATCAATTCAATTCAAATAATATTACTTATTTATTGTTTCTGCAGGGCGTAAGTATTGAAAATCTATAATCACGCATGATCAAAATTTCAAGCTAATTCAATTTCAATAATATTTTCTCTAATCAATTACCTATAAATTACAGGAAGTAAGTGCCTTTTAAAAATTTTGGTATTATAATTGTTAAAATTAAATTATAATATTAATTCAATATTAAATAACACTTCTTTATTTATTAATTATTGCATGATTATAGGGAGTGAGTATTTAAATTTATGATCATTAAAATAGGAAATTTTTAATTAATTCGAAATCAATTAATTTTTCCTCTAATCATTTATCAATAAATTATATGAACATATTGTAATTAAGGCTGTAAGTATTTAGATTCAAATCAAATTTAAAGCCAATTTTATTAAAATATTTATAAAAATTAATTAAAATTCAATTTCATATCATGTTTGCAGGGCGTAAGTACTTAGATTCATAATATTTGGATTTCTAAATTTCTTTCACTAATCAATTATCTACCAATTGGTAATGATATGGATGATATGTTTATAGGGAGTAAGTATTTAGTTTAAAAATTTCAAATTAATTAAACTTAAATTACTTACTTAATCGTCACATTACTTAAATTAATTAATTGTTTAATTAATTAATTATTTATTTTATTTAGGATGTAAGTAATTTGATTGTGAAATTTTTAACCTAATTTAACATCAAGTAACACTTCTCAAAATTGATTATTTGTCACCTATCATTTATCTACGAATATAATAGGAAGTGAGTATTTAGATTCATAGTAATTAAAGTCAAAATTTAAATAATCGACTGTAAATAATAATTTCTAATTAATTTATGTTTTCATTTTTTACAGAAAGTGAGTATATTATTTGATATTATTTGATATTATTTGATATTATTTAAATCAAAATTTTAATATTAAATAATGCACCTCTTAAACAATTATTAATTAATTAACAATTATTAATTAATTGCATGACACAGTGGGTGAGTATTTGGATTCATAATTACTGCTAAAATCAATATTTCAGGCTATTCAACCCAAATAATACTTCTTTAATTATTGATCAAATTCTTGCACATGCACATTCTAGGCTGTAAGTATTTATTTTAGATTTATGATTGTTAAAATCAAATTTATAGTTAATTCAACTTTAAATAATTCTTTTCTCTAATTAATTATAAATCAATTGCATTTGAATATTTATTAAACTAGTTGGTAAGTATTTAAAAATTCACGAATGTCATGACTTTAAATTTCAAGTTAATAACACTTCTCTATCAACTATCTATTAATTTAATATATCTCAGGAAGTGAGTATTGATTCATAATTATAAAATCTTGATTTTAAGTTAATTTAACACTTTTCTAATCAATTAATGAATTAAATTTGTATTATATTTACAGGGAGTGAGTATTTCGATTCATAATTATTAAAATGAAAAAAATTACGAATTAGTTTAAAATAAGCAAATTCCACATTGCGTTGTTAATCAATTATTAACGGTTTCATACATTTATATCATATTTATTGCAGGATGTGAGTATTTAGATTCATAATTATTAAGTTCAGAGATTTAATATCAAACTTTTCTAATCGATCAATTTTTCAATAAATTATCATGTTTACCACATTAAATAATTAGTTGGTAAGTATTTATTTATTTTTATAATCATTAGAGTTAAAGTTTTTAGATAATTTAATTAACTCAATTAAACTTTCCTATTAATTGAATACTTACAAGGTCGTGAGTATTTAGATTCTTAATCATAAAATTAAAAATTTGAAGTTAATTTTTAACATTAAACAACAAACTTCAATAATCAATCAATTTCTTAATAACATATATTACATAATATTAAAGGAAGTACGTATTTAAATTCATAATTATTAAATTCGAAATTCAAGTTCATAACTTTTATCTAATCAATTATCTATCAATTATCTACACATATTAGCGAGTGAGTATTTTAAAGTTAAAATTTAATTGAACATCATCAATTACACTTCTCTAATTCTAATCAATTATAAATTAATTGAATGTTGCATATGTATCACAGGAAGTGAGTATTTTTATTAATAATCATTAATATCAAAGTTTTAATAAGATTTCTTTAATAAATTAATGGTCAAATAATTTATTAAATGAATATTAAATGAATTATTTGTTAAATATTATTAAAATCATTAAAATTTCTCAAATAATACATAATATTACAGGGAGTGAGTATCTAGATTCATAATCATTATGATCCAAATTCCAAGTTAAATCAATATCAAATGACACTTTCTCTAATCAATTATCAACAAATCGCGTGTATAATATTTACAGAAAGTGAGTATTTGGATTTATTATAATTATTCAAGTCGAAATTTCAATATTAAATAATATGTCACTAATCAATTATCTATCAATTGTATCTTTACATATTTACAGGGCGTAAGTGTTTGGATAATATTTAGATATTTATATTCAACAAATTCAAAGTTTCAATCAATCTAATTGACTTTCATATAATGTTTCTTGAATCAATTGTTGATCAATTGATATTTATTATTATATTTACAGGAAGTGAGTATCTGAATTCATAACTGTTAAAATAATGATTTAACATCATCAATAACATAAGCACTTCTCTGATTATTTTATAAAATTATTATTAATCAATTGCATATACATATCATATTACAGGGGGTAAATATTTAAATTATAGTCATTGAAAAATCAAATTTCAAAGTTAATTCAATATTAAATAATATTATCTAATTAATTAATTATCAATTATACATTTACAGGACGTAAGTATTTATTGTTATGATCAAATTTTTAAGCTATTTAACTTCAATAAACACTTTCTAATCAATTATTGGCATTAATCATATGCAACTGTATATTTAAAGGGCGTAAGTATTCAGATTAATAATAATTCAAATTGTTATTGATTTCCAATAACACTTCTTTAATCAATAATTTACCAATTTTATATTATATATATTTTATTATAGGATGTGAGTATAAAGATTTATATTTACTATTGTCAAAGTTTCAAACTGATTCAACATTAACACTAAATTAAATAACACAAATATAATCAATTATCAACAAACTGAATATGAATTATATTTATAGGTAGTAAGTATTTCAATTCATGATTATTAAAATCAAAAATTTCAAGTTAATTTTTTACACAAATAACATTTTTGTCTAAATGATTTATATTATATTTATATACAGCATGTGAGTATTTGAATTCATACTTATCATTAAAGTCCAAGTTCTTAGCAATCTAATATTAAATAATACCTTCCTAATCAATTTTCTATAAATCATTTATACACATTAAATAATTAGTTTGTGAGTATGTAATTTTGAATCTTTATGATCAAAATTTTAAGACAATAAACTTTTCCTAATTAATTATTTATTAATTATATGTTTGCAGGAAGTGAGTATTTAGATTCTTAATTAATCATAAAATCAAAGATCCAAGCTACTACTCTAATCAATTATTACTTATATACACATGCTATAATAACATTACAGAAAGTAAGTATTTAGATTCATAATCATAAAGATTCAATTTGAAAAAAATAATACTTCTCTCATTAAAATGTTTTTATTTTTTATTCATTTTCTTTTTATATTTACAGGGAGTAAGTTTAGTTTCATCATCACCCATCTTTTTTAAGATCAAATATTCAATTTTAATAACAATTCTCTAATCAACCAATGACATGTGCATATCACACTTTTAGCATGTGAGTATTAGATTTATAATTTTAAAGAACAAAAGATTCAAGTTTAATCAACTTCAATAAATATTAACAATCTATAAACCCATTTCATTATTATATTACAGGGAGTAAGTACTTTAATTTAATATCATTATAATTTGCTTCAAATAAGAACACTTTTTTTAAATATTTAAATATTAGCACTTTTCTAAATATTTAAATATTAACACTTTTTTAATCGATTATATTTCTATTCTTTTTACAGAAACTCTTTGATATTATTGTGATTCTGAAATTTCACCTTAATCGAATTCAGTTATGGTTATAACTTTTAGGTATTAACACATTTTTATTTTAAAGGTATAAAAATAATTACATTTTATGAAGTTTTGATTACAAGTTTAAAATGTTATGATTGTTATAATTTAAATTGCTTGAGAAATCTATTCTTTGGTTATATTTAGAAATTATTTATATAAAATTTTTGTACTATTATTATACTATTTATATGTAAAAGTTGTATTTATAGGTTTTAATTATACATAAAATTATATTTTGTAAACCAATAGCAGTTTACAATCACAAATTGTATTTATTCAAATTCTTTGCTCTATGTAATGATTGCAATAGTATATTGCTATATTATTTTGTTTATAAACTCAGATAGAATTATTATACATTTACAATTTTTAAATTTGCATTCTGTATTTTTTATTTTTTTAATCTTAGAAAACATTAAAGTCAAATATCTTTGGCAATAACATTATGTCATTTTTCAATTTTTCATGACACTGATTTATTTATATAATTTAAAATTTTCAAATTCAGCATCTTTCCAAAAATTAAATATTTTTCAAAAAAAAGAGAACTTTTTCAATTTTACCAAGACTCTTTGTTTCGACAGTTCAAAAATTTTTTTTAATAAAAAAAATTATCATTTATAAATAAATATATAAATATTATTTTTAAGAATCAAAGAGAGAAAGCAATTATAAATATTTTATAATGGCTCAAAAATTAAAATAAATGGTAACAAGCAATTATGGATTTTGAATATGCTATGCAAAGAAAAGCAAAAATTAATAATTAAAATGGGATTTGTTTATTTTCCATATATTGTATAAGTAAA